CGGAGGGGAGCAGAAAGAGGAGGCAGGGAGAGGAGGCGCGTGAGGACGGCAGGGCCCTATGGTCTTCAGCGATTGCCCCCCGACGCTCCGCTTGCGTCCGAGCCGCCAGCCCCTGCAACCGTCGACCGCTGGGCCTGCACTGCCGTGCCGCGGCACGCTCTGGGCGGCCCCCGCTCGCCCAGCAGGCCGCCGCGCCGCACGCCCGAGGGTCGGCTGCTGCGCCTGCGCCCGTCTCCGCTGGGCGGGGGCCCGGCCCCCTGCGCGGGCCCCCGCGGCCCCAGCGCGGGCCGCGGCCGCCCATGGAGTGCACGGGGCTCCCCGCGGCGGCCCTCTACGCCGCGGGCTCGGGCCGCCCCCCGGCCCTCCGGCAGGGGCGCGGTCTGCCCCGGCAGCGGCGGCCGGCCGCGGCGCCGACGACGGCGGCGACGCCCACGACGCCGACGGCGACCACCGCGACGCCGACGGCGACGATGCCGACGCCGACGGCGACCACGACGACGCCGACCGCGACCATGCCGGCGCCGACGGCGGCGACGCCGGCAACGGTGGGGGCGGCGGCCGTGGCGGCGGCGGCGGCGACGCCGACGACGCCGAGGAGCACAGCACGATTGGCCCTGGAGGCGGCCGCGAGCGGGCGGCCGGCGGGAACGGCCCCTCTGCCTTCTCGCTCTGCGCGGCCGGCGCCCCCGGAAGCGCTCGGGGTGGCTCGGCGCTCGCCCGCTGGAAGCACAAACAACACTCCTCTTCCTCCTCCTCCTCCTCCCCTCCTCCTCCTCCTCCTCCTCCTCATCCTCATCCTCATCCTCATCCTCATCCTCATCCTCATCCTCATCCTCATCCGCCTCCTCCTCCAGGGGCTAAAGTGAGGTTTCGGGGAGTGTCTCCGTTTTCGGGCATACTCGCTGCTTCTAGGCGACTTGCCAGCCCCAGGATGCCTTCCAGCGGCTGCGCCTCGCCCAGAGCATCCCGGGCGTGCCCGAGTTGTCCCGAACGGCCGCCAGAGTTACGACCCGAACAGCACCGGGGGATCGGCCCAGATGGGCGATGGGACGCATCGACCCCCAATCGCCCAATCATCGCCGCTGCGGGCCTGATAGCCAACCCCGCCCGGGAATCGTGTGGTTTCGCTGTCGGGGGCCGATCGCCAATCCATCGGCGATGTATCACCGATACACCACGACGGCGATGACGTACACGACGTCAACCTCGACGACCACGACCACGACCACGACCGCGACCGCGAACACGACCACGACCACGACGACCACGACCACGACCACGACCACGACCACCACGACGACGACGACGACGATGACGACGACGACGAACGGCGGCGGCCAGAGCCCTGCGGCCGCCGGCGGACGGCGCTGCGGCCGCCGCCCGAGGCCGTGCTCGGGCTCGCCTTCTTCGCCCGCCTCTCGTGGACCCTCGGCAGCTACCCGCTGGTGCCGCTGCAGACGGACGACGCGGAGTGGTCGGCCGCGTCCGCGTTCTTCCTCCCAAGCAGAGGCGAAGCGTTCTGATTATTCTCTCGGCCCACCAGAGAATGTGCTCATAGCCTTTGGGCGTGTACTTTGCAGGACATGCTCGTAGAACACCACTGGCTGAGAGGGTCTTGTGCTGATGTCTTGGTCTTATGCTCTAAGAATGGTTGCTTCTGTCCTGAGGAGAGCGCCCTGTGCTAAGAATATGGTGTGGTAGGCCTATGAGAATGCTTGGATGGCCCATCCCTGCTCAAGCCTCGCGTCGCGAAGAGATCTTTTCGGACCGTTGTTGGCCACTTCCCGCTTCTGGATCCAGGGGCCATCCCCGGGCCGCGGGGCCGTCAAAAAAAATGGTTTGGGGTGAAGGTCTTGGTCCCGAGGAACGGGTGCAGATTTCCGGACGGCCGCGCTGCAAACAAGAACACGACGTTGCAGGTCAGGGTCCCTTTGTGGTCTTCCCTTCCTCTACCATTTTCCTCTCACCTTCCCCTCATCATCATAATCTTCCTCCTCTTCCTCCTCCTCTTCCTCCTCCTTCTCATTATTATCCTATTTCTTCTCCTGCTCCTCCTCGTCCTCCTCCTGAAATGTTGCTGGACTGCATGCGAACTGCGCCACTGGGACCTTCTCTGCGATGGGGCCACGAAACTTGGGAGGAGTGTGCCGAAATGGGTGGCGGGAACGCATGCGAACTGCGCCATTAGGACCTTCGGGGGATCTCCCTATGGGACCACGAAACGTTTGAGGGTGTGCCGAAGTAGGTGTGGGACCGCATGCGAATTGCCCCACTGGGATCTTCGGTGGAGCTCCCTATGGAGCCAAGAAACGTGTGAGACTCGGGGTCGCCAAGACGTACCAGTCAGGTTAATTCGTCGGGCCGCTCAAGGTGGTCGTCCTGTCGCTCAAGCGGATCGGCTGGGTGATGCTGTCGTCGGTGCTGATCCAGCTTGACGTGGGGCCAGTGATTTCGCTCTTAGCCACATCGCCTCGCTTTTTTCGAGATCTCCTGAGGCAAGGGGTCCAGCGTTGGCAAATGCGCCAGATTGCCTCTCACCACGATGCCGCCACGCCTCTTCGGCCGCGAGGCCTGCGAGCTTGTGTGGGCGGGAGGGGGGCGGCGGTGACTGGGGCGGGGAGGGTCGGAGCTCTGCGCAGTCTGTGGTCTGGCTCTCTCTCTGGCCGAAAGCTAAGTTGTATAGCAAAGGAATGTGTGATGATCAGAAGTGTCGAGCGTGCCCGCACGAGGCTGAGACGCTTGGCCATTGTTTCGTTGAGTGCCCAGCGCTGACGCAGTGCTTGTTAGACGATGAAGAAGATTGTGGTCTTGATCCCAAGTTGGCCGCAGCTCGCGACACCATGTTGGAGCACGGGCCGATTGGGGAAGGCCGCCAGGATGTAGATTCTTTTGCCCTCTCGGTCGGGATCCCCAGGTGGCCCAAGGTTGGAGTGCCGCAGCCTCCTGAGTCGCCTCCTTGTTTCTTTTGGGGAGATTGGGAGTCGTATCCCGAACAGTGGCGTGATTGTGTTTTTACTGATGGCTCGGGATACCACAACGAGTATCCCGAGCTCCGTCGGTGCGGATGGTCCGCTGTCATGCTGAATGCCAATGGAGTCCCCACTCGCGCGTTGTATGGCGGGCTTGCTGGCGCGCAGCAGACAGTGGGCCGTGCTGAGCGTGTTGCGGGCCTCAAGGCCCTTCAGTACATGCCATCAGTCCAGTGCGTGATTTCTGACTTGCTGGAATTTGTGCAAGAAGGCAAGCTGTGGGGCCAAGGAGAAACGGAGGCCTTCACAGATGCGAGCCGTGCATACCCTGCAGTTTGGCGCCAGCTGGTGGCGCTGAAAAGAACGCCGCCCGCTTTTGCATGGGTCCCGTCACACAGGACTGAGGATGAGATTCTTTCCCCCGCTCCGAGGACCCTCCGCCTCCTCCCTACCCCTGGGTCGTGGGAAATGGTTGGGCCGACTGTTTTGCCAAGCTTGGAGCTCTCTCGGTCAAACTCCCAGAGGCCCATGCTAGGTTCTACAAGGACTCGCTGACTGAGGCAGCCCAGTACGCCAAGTATTTGTTTTGGGCGGTCCAGAGATGCTGTCAGCTTGACCTGTGGGCTGAGAAGGCTGTCCTGACGGCGGCCCCAAGCAGAGCTCCCAGGGCCAGTGGAGCCATAATGGTGCTGCTAATACACGAGCAGGACCTCATCGAGATTCGAGGGAGGCTCATGTGTCGACGATGCCGTCGCACAGCGAGGACCGCTGAAGCTCGCCGACAGTTGACGGGAGGCACGGATCGACGTTGTGTGCCTTCTATGATTTCCCGAATGCAGGCAAATCTGATCGAGGCTGCCGCCAGTGCCGCTGCGAGGCCGCCGGCGGCCCGCTGGAGGTCTGCGGGGGGGCTGTCTGGTGGGCCTGGGGGTGCTTGTGGGGGTGGGGCCTCGGCTGGGGCCGCTCCTGCTGAGGCTGGGCTCGGGGCCGCTGTGGCTGGGGACTCGGCTGGGGTGCGCTTGGGGGGGCCTGTGCCCGCCTGCGTTGGCGGGGCCGGGGCTTCTGATGGGGCTGAGCCTGGGGGCTCGGCGTCTCTGGCCTCTGTGGGGGCCGTGCGTGGGGGGCCTGCGCCTGCCCGCGAGGGCGAGGCTGGCTGGGGCCCCGCTGGGGCGTGCTGCGGGCTCTGGGGAGCCTGCGGCGGCGGAGTGGTGTCACGCGCCAGGGGGACACGACGTCACCGCCACGGGTACGGTCGTCTGGTGTCGGCGGTGCGGGGCCTACGGGTCCGTCAGGGTGGGGAAGGCCTTCAGCTCCCCCTGCCCTGACCCCAAAGACTTGCCCAAGAGCAGGAGGTCAGTCCTCAGTGCTCTCCAGAGAGGCAAGCACCCCAAGACTGGGCAGTCCCTCACGGGGTGACTGGGAGTCTGGGGCTTTCCTTTTCCCTCTTAGAGCGGTGTCTGTGAGCAGACGCTTTCTCTTCAGTGCTTCCCTGCTTCCCTCCCCCTTCCCCTCCTCCTCCTCCTCCTCCTCCTCCTCCTCCTCCTCCTCCTCCTCCTCCTCCTCCTCCTCCTCCTCCCCTTCCCCCTCCCCCTCCCCCTCCCCCTCCTCATCCTCCCCCTCCCCCTCCCCCTTCCTCTCCCCCCTTTGCACGGAAGCACGTGCAGCTCCCGATGCCCGCGGGCCTCCGGCCGTGCGGGCTCGCCTGACGGAGGACCGAGCATCGAGCGCATCGAGCATCGAGATCGAGGACGCAGGATCGAGCAGCGACGACCGAGCATCGAGCGCAACGAGGATCGAGCAGCGAGAGGACCGAGGGCCGAGCAGCGAGCGCACCGAGTGCCGAGGATCGGGCAGCAAAGGCTGGGGATCAGAAGCACCGAGCATCGAGCATCGCGGGCTGAGGATTGGGCGCCGAGGACGGAAGCGGAGGGAGGGACCGAGCGCGAGCGTTGCGCTCCCACAGGTCGCGGGAGTGGGTGTGGACCACGGTCGGCGACTATCCGCACGGGCGGTCGCCTTGTTCCGTCTGCGGCACCCCAGGTCGGCAGATTGGATGAGGGGGCGGCCCGTGGGGCGGAGATCGTCCTCCTCCTCCTCCTCCTCCTGCTCCTGCTCCTCCTCCTCCTCCTCCTCCTCCTCCTCCTCTTCCTTTTCCTCCTCCCTCTCTCCTCCTCCTCCTCCTCCTCCTCCTCCTCCTCCTCCTCCTCCTCCTCCTCCTCCTCCTCCTCTCCTCCTCCTCCTCCTCCTCCTCCTCCCCTCCTCCTCCTCCTCCTCCTCCTCCTCCTCCTCCTCCTCCTCCCCTCCTCCTCCTCCTCCTCCTCCTCCTCCTCCCCCCCCCTCCTCCTCCTCCTCCTCCGCCTCCTCCCCGCCCCTCCTCCTCCTCCTCCCCTCCTCCGTCCTCCTCGCTCCTCCTCCTCTCCTCCTCCTCCTCAGACTCCTCCTCCTCCCTCCTTCCCCCCCCCCCTCCGCCTCCCTCCTACCTCCTTCCTCCTCCTCCTCCCCTCCTCCTCCTCCTCCTCCTCCTCCTCCTCCTCATCCTCCTCCTCCTCCTCCTCCTCCCTCCTCCTCCTCCTCCTCCCTCCTCCTCCTCCTCTCCTCACCCTCCTCCTCCTCCTCCTCCTCCTCCTCCTCCTCCTCCTCCTCATCCCTCTCTCCCCCATCCTGTCCTCCGCCTCCCTCTCCTCCCCCTGGCCCCGCGCGCTCGCCCCGACCGGCGACGATGCGCACGGGGGTGCTCTTTTCCCCCCAACGGTGTTTCCCAGGTCGGCTGCTCCTCCCTCAGGAGGGGAAGAAACACAGACACAATGAATCGCCGGTTCCCCAGAAAATATAGGAAAATATGGGAAGTGGGGGGGGGAAGACAAAAACCCAGAAAATATCGGATAATATGCGGGATCTTTTCATGTGCGTGTGTACTTATATGTGTGTCTCAGGGCCCCTTCACTCCCTCTGGCGGGTTTCCCCAGGTCGACTGACCGACAGGGGGGGAGAGGAGCGGACGGGCGTGGGAAGGGTCTAGTCTCTGGCTGTGGGCATCCCTTCTAGTCAGCAATCCGCACGGTTTGGAGCGTCGGAGTCGCGAGCGGAAGTCGAACGCGATCCAAAGCCGTGCGTTGCTGGTCTACCACCTCCCCATCCCTTCACGTCCTCGAACAGCAGCATTGGCGGCAGCAACGAGGCGAGGGAAGAGATGCTCTTCCTCTTCTCTTCCATCCTCCCCCTCTCTCTCTTCTCCTCCCCTCCCTCCCCCATCCGTCCGCATTCCCTCCCTCCCGTCTTCTCGCTCTCTCCTTCCCTTCCATCTCAACGATCATGGATACTACACCCCTGTTTCCCTCGAAGATGGCCAGGGAGTAGCCCGCCCAAAGGTCGTGGGGCTCCTGCCCCGATGCTGGAAGTTCTGAGCCATGTGCCGCACGCCTACTAAGCTTTGAGGGCTGAGCTGCGGGCCCCCTTGTGCGGCACGAGCAGGCCAGCCCCACGGCTCTCCCCCCCCCCCCGCGCCCCCTTTGGGAAGTTGCTGGGGCATCGGTTTCGCTCTGCATGGGGGGGCTTGTGGGTTGTCTTTTCCACGCCTGCACGGCAGCATCAATTCGGAGTGGCTTTGTTCATGTTCTCTCTCTCTCTCTCTCTCTCTTTCTCTCGCTCTCTCTCTCTCTCTCTCTTCTCCCTCTTTCTCTCTCCAGAGTCGATGGAGGCCACGCGGTGCTGTGACGTTGGCGCATCGTCTCTTGTGGTCCTGACGAACGAGGGTAGTCAATACTTCCTAGGCTCAGAGCGGCGATTGCGGGCCATGCCTCCGCTGGCATCCTCCAGCGGCCAGCCACCAGTTTCAGTGGCCCCGTTTGTATCGGCGCGGTCTCATTGCCATCTGGTTGCGACATGACCTGCAAATTTGTGTTGAAGACTAGATTTGAGGACTCAGAATCAACCCTCCACAAGGGGTCGGCGGACTATACGATCACTGCCTGCTTCTGCGGCGTGGTCTTGGGCACGGAGGACACGGCTTGCCACTCGAGCCCACCACAATGCGGTGCCGATTTGTCCCCGCGGATGTGAAGGCACGTCGGACCGATCGATCCCCTCAAACAGCGAATGTCGTAAGGGGTCTCGGTCATGTGAACACCGGTGATGTTCAGTTCCATAGTGCGAAATTTGGGGGTGGACAGAACCCCCAACAGTGACACGTCGATTAGTGAATTGTCCGTTTTCGGTTCTCGAGAGGGCGCCGCGGCCGTTATTTTCCAGGCTTGCGCCCGCCAGGTTTGGGCCTCAGGTCGTTTTCACTAAACCACGTTTTACCAACTGGGGTCTGTCCATTCCCGAAGTGTCGGGGCGGCAAGAGGTGGGGTGCGATGACTAGATAGGGGGGGGGGCATAACATGGCGCGGGCCATGGTGTGTCCCCAGATTTCGCGCCTCTCCTTGTTTCATTACGTCCCTGGCCCCCCCGCTGGGCCGCGCACGTGCCGCCGGTCATGATTTGCACCCCCCCCCCTCTTGGACACCCTCCTCTTGGCCGCTCCCGAAAGTGCGGTTGAGAAACGTGTGCGTGGCCGCCCTGTGCAAGTCGCAGACAGCAAGAGGCCGAATCTGCAGGACACCATTTTGTAGTCCGCCCTCCCCCCAGATGAAGAATGGCGTGTCGAAGCTTGGTTGTCCTATTGGCGTTGGCATGTCCAGGTTTTCTGGAGTCAGGGTGTTCTGCTGGACTGCTGGGTCTGGGGCGCTGTCAACGCCACCAGAGCCACACAAAGTGCTTACTGCACCGACCGCGGACACACACGCCCCGAGATCCGATGCTGCGAAAGCATACACCATCGAAAACAATATACGACTGGAGCCCTAGACCGCATCTTCTTGCTGCATTCTTCCAGCCGGAACGATCGGTGATGGTCTTGGGGCCCGACATTAGGCGAAGTCGCCGAGTGTAAAGCATCGCAACGCCAGGAACCCAGGGCACGTGCAGCCATCCACCGTCCCAACCAACCGCACCATCGCGCGCACATGAGCCACAGAGCAAAACGGCTTCGATTGTGCCGACGTTCGCGAGCACGTCGCCCTCGTAAGGCCGCGCGTAAGCGCCCTTGTTACCAGTGTAGCGCGCCGCGCGTGCGGCATGCGTAGGCCGCCGCGTAAGGTCGCCACATGCTGTGCGGAAAATCCTGGAGGCCTCACGCGGCGCTCTCATCTACTCCACGCGCCGCGTCAGATATGGGACGACGTTCGCTCGGCGGTGTTCCGACGTACATCCGATGTGAATTTGACGTAAACCCGACGTGGGTCCGACGTGGATCCGACGTAAATTGGGTCCCAAGTTGCCGCGCGAGGCTTCCGGCATGATCATCATTATCATGTGCCACTTCGAGTAAGACCCGCTCCTTTTCGCAGCATCGTTTAGCCGATCCTTGTCCCCATCCCCGCCCCGATCCCCGCCATCCTACCACCCTGGTTGGGGATATGCCCCTTCGAAATTCGAAGGGGGCGCCTATATCCCTATCTCGAGGGGGCAAGTCGGTTGGTGGGGCCCAGGCCACGCCCGTGGGGATAGGGATTGGTCAGACGATACTCACTTCGGCGGCGAGCGAGGGGGGCAAGTGAGAAGGAGAAGGCCCTCTCAGAAGGCGGCGGGGCTTCTCAGAAGCCATCGCGCCTTCTTGGAGGTTTTCTGCGTCTTCGGGGGAGGCTTAGGAAGCTTCTCAGAAGGCCGGGGGACTCCTGAGCCGTCTGAGAACGCTCTCTCTTTCTCACGTCCCCCCACGGGGCTCGCCGCCGAATTCATAGCTCTCATCAGGGCTCGAGCAAAACAGTGGTTTGGCGAATTTGTGGACCGTTTTCGTTTTGATGTCTTTCCGCGGCAGAGGCAGAACGCAGACAGAGCGAAGGAAAAAGAAAACACGACGAAACCAAGAAAACACGGTTTAGCTCGAGCCCTGCCCTGTGGCAGGGGAGGAGGGCGCGGAGGCGGAGGAAGGGGGGGAGGGTCGGGGCGATGGGCGGCGCGAGCCTCAGCGCGACGATGCGGGCGCAAGGGGGTCCGAGGCGGGGATTTACACATGACTGCCACCTGTGGGGTCGACCTTCGGGGACATCGGCGGGCTGCGGATACGGATGGATTCGGGCCCCGAGGGGAGAGGAGGAGGAGGAGGAGGAGGAGGAGGAGGAGGAGGAGGAGGGGGAAGGAGGGGTAGGAGAGGAGGATGAGGAAGGATAGAGGATGAAGGGGAGAGGAGGAGGATGAGGTGCGTATGGCGTATGAGGAGGAGGCTGAGGAGGAGGGGGAGGAGAGGAGGGAGGAGGAGGGGATGATGCTTCTGAGTAGGCGGTCGGCGTCAGGTTAGGCTGCTGTATGATTAGGGTATTGTAATGCATTTAATTATTATATTCTAGGTCATATCCTTTTCTTCTCTTATTGCGTTAGTCTTATCTTCTTCATTGTCTTCTTCTTCTTCTTCTTCTCTTCGTATAGTCTTCATTCTTTCTTATTCCTTAGTTTTTCTTCTTTCTTCCTTTCTCTCTTGGCGTTTCCATTTCGTTTTCTTCTTTATCTTTTTTCTTCTTCTATCTCTTCCTTTTCTTGCTTTCTCCTCCTGCGTTAGTTATTATTTCTTGATGTTTTTCTTATTATTTTTTCCTTCTTTTTTCTTTCTTTTCTTTCGTCTTTTTCTCTCGTCTTCTTCTTCTTTTCTGCTTTTGCTTTGCTTTTTTCTTCTTGCTTCTTCTTATTCAGGATTCTTACTCCCTACCCTATTATTTTTCTTCTTCTTTGCGTCTATTCTTACTTCCTGTGTTCTTCTCCCCCCTTCTCGGTCCTCTCTCCCGCCCCCCCCCCCGCAGGAGCCGTGGCGGGCCCTGCCGTGGTGCGCCGCCGCGCTGCTGGGGCTCGGCCCGGCGGCCAGGAGTGCGTGCCTTTGTCGCGCGACACGCCCGCGAGCGTCGTCGTCCTCGTCGTCGTCGTCGTCGTCGTCGTCGTCGTCGTCGTCGTCGTCGTCGTCGCGAGAAGCGGTCAAACATGGTTGTGCCCAGGGGGCGCGTCCCATCCAAGGTTGAAGCCGTGGCGCCGCGGGGCGCCCTTTGCGGCCGAGAGGCGCGTTCACGGGGGGAAGGCCAGGAGGCGCTCCAGTTTGGAGTTGCCGTGTCCTGGACACCCCCCTTGGCCGCGACACACGTTCAGGGTGCGGGGGCCCAGGGGGCGCTCAAGGTTGAAGCCGCGGTATCCCGAGGCGCCCCCGCGGCCGCGAGACGCGTTCAAGGGCGAGCCCCCGTGGGCTCTCGGATCGTCGTCGTCGTCGTCGTCGTCGTCGTCGTCGTCGTCGTCGTCGTCGTCGTCGTCGGTGGTCGTCGTCGTCGTCGTCGTCGGGTCGTCGTCGGTGGTCGTCGTCGGTGTCGATGTCGCCGTCAACAACGTGAGCGAACGGGGGAGCCTCGGGGGACCTCAACGGCAACAGTTCGGGCGGGGCAGCGTCAGGGCGGAAGAAGCTTCGAGGTTCCGAAGCCTTCGGACGTCTTCGTTGGTTCTCGGGTGTCTTCTAGCCTCGGGATGCTCTCCGGCAGCTGCGCCTCGCCGATGACCTCTTTCGGGGGAGGCCCGGATCGCTCCGAACGGCTGCCAGAGGCTCGGGCCACGGCCCGAAAGCCAAGGGACGAGCATCACTGAGGTCGGACGCAGAGGAGGAGGGGCGGAGGCCAGGGGTGGGCACGAACTCCGCTGCACGAACTCCGCTGCACGCCCGAAGCGAGGACGCAGAAGAAGAGGTGACGCAGAGAAGAGGTGACGCAGAATTCTCCGTCAGAAGAAGAGGTGACGCATAAGAAGAGGGTGGGCACGAGCTCCGCTGCACGCGGCGGGTTCCGGCCCCGCCGCTGGGCGCGCTCCTCGATATGCCGGCGCTTCCTGGCGCCAGCAGAGGCCCGGAAGGTCCGATGCGTGAAGTGAGTCGCACGGCGCAGCAGAGAAACTCAGAGCGGCTGGCAGCTGCTACGTGGCCGCCCGGCGTGTCCAGGGCCTCCCGCTCCAGCTGGAGTCTTGCGGGGGGCCCTGCTCCCTCCAGCCTTTGATCAGGCGCGGGGCTCAGATGAGGGAAAGATATCGATGCCGGTGCCCGTCCTGGGGAGCCTTCCCTGCCACGGCTGGGTTCTCCCCGAGGTTCTGGGCGGCACGCATCCCTGAAGAGGTCGGGGCAGTAGCGGTGGTGGTACTTGTTTGACCCCCCAGGTATGCTCGACGGGGTAGTTTTGAGGAGGAGGAGGAGGAGGAGGAGGAGGAAGATCCAGTGTAAACCCAAGACGCATCAACGATATTGCAATCAACCCCTCTCTCCGAGTTCCCCATTCATAAGTCCCAGCAAGAATTTGTTTTCATTACGGGAAGGAACCCATTCGAAGACAATTGTCTGAGAGAGAATCCTCAATCGTGCCAAAAAGAAGGAGGAGGAGGAGGAGGAGAAAGAGAGGGATCGGCCTCACCAGCAGGGGTGGGCGCGTCATGGAGACCAGCCGGCGAAGGTCAGGTACAGGTGAGGTCGAGTGCCAGGTAGCGGCTCGGGCAAGACAGTGGTTTGGGAGATAGAGCAGCAGACGGAGGAGGAGCAGCAGCAGTAGCACACGCATCAGTAAGAGGAGGAGGAGGAGGAGGAGGAGGAGGAGGAGGAGGAGGAGGAGGAGGAGGATAGGTAGGGATGGGGAAACAGTAGCAGCAGCAGCAGCAGCAGCAGCAGCAGCAGCAGCAGCAGCAGCAGACAGGAGGAGGGAGGGGGAGGGAGGGGGAGGGAAGCGGAACGGAGAGGGGGAGAATTATGGGGACGAGGAGGAGAAGGAGGAAGAGGGACGATGAACGAGAGTGGAGGCAGAGGGAAGCAGGACGGAGGAGGTATCGAGGAGGGAGGAGTGTGACATTGAGGAAGGCAGCAGCTCGGTGGAAGACGACGAGCGTCGTGCGCGACGGGGGGCACACACACGCCCCCCGATCGCACAGCGCCTGCGAGGGCAGCTCCGCAGCAGCCCGAGGCTTCGTGGAGTGCAGTCCTCAGCCCCCGCCTCGGTCTGGCGAGTCTCCCCGGCGTCCCCCGAAGAACTCAGGCTTCGGGAGCCTTGAGACGGGGGTCAATGCAAACGGGGGTCAGCCAGAGCGCCCAGTCTTGCAGGATCCTGCAGGGGCAGGGCCGGGACTGACCCGGGCTTGGGTGCAGGATCCTGCCGGACCTTGCAGGATCCTTCGCCCTGACCCGGGCTTGGGTGCAGGATCTTGCAGGATCCTGCAAGGCCTGACTGACCCGGGTCTGGATTGACCTGGGTCGGAGGGCACCAACTATACACCAACAAAAGACCGATCCTGCTCAGGAATCCCCTGGGCCCAGTCGGGTGTTATGCCTTCTTGCGCAATGCAGGAGGGGCGCGTATACCACCGATCCTGGCCCATGGGTGATCCCTGGCCAGGATTCGGTGTTGGTGTAATGGCTTGGTGCCCTCCTAAACCGGTCAGAAGCTCCCCGCAGGGGCCGTGGGCGCCTCGGCGGCTCGGGCGAGAGCCCTGCCCAGGGCGAAGGCCTCGCGCCATGCCGAAGGATTGCAAGAACCCTTGAACGAGGATTTGCAAAAAAACGAAGGATTGCAAAAAAAGAAAAACAAAAAAAAAAAAAAAAAAAAAAAAAAAAAAAAACCATTGCAAAAAAAACCGTTGAACGAAGGATTGCAACAAAAAAAAAAACTTGGTCGAAGGATTGCAAAAAAAAAAAAATGCAATCCTTGGTGCCCCACTGCGGGCCCGCCGCGGCGTGGGGCGAGAGCCGCGCCCCCGAGCGAGCGCGCGGCGGATCCCCTCCCCGCGGGAGGCTCTCCGGCACGGCGGCAGCCCGGGCGCCCTCCGCGGCCCCCCTACCCCCTCGGCAGTGCTTGCGCCGCGCGAGGCCGCTCTCACGCGGGGGGCGGGGGGGGGCGGCCACAGAGCCAGGCCGGCCACGACTGGGGGGAGCCGCGGTCCTTGCCCCCCTGGGGGGCCCCTCGATGTCGACGCCCCTCCCGAGAGGGATCTTCGAGGCGATGGATTCCCCCAGGGGGGTAAGGACCACAGCTCCCCCAGTTGTGGCTGGTCGGAGAGCCTCGCGGCTCGCTGTTGGGGCCGGGGAGCACGGTCGGCTCGGGGCCACGTCGACGCGGCGGCGACCCCGGCACGGGCAGTCAAGGGTGAACCCCGCAGGTGTCGGGGGCGGCCATGGACAGAGGGGTGGATGTCATGGGCGGGGCCACGATGTCTCCCCAGATCTCGCTGCCCCCTCTTTTTGTTCTTTCAACGCGTTCCTTGGTCCCGCCCCGGGGGGCCGCGCACATGCCGCCGACCAGGATTGGCGAACCCCCCTCTTGGACACCCCCGACAGCGGCCAGGAGGAACCCGCTGCCGAACGATCTGTGTTGCCAGAATGCCACGATCGTTCAAGGTTGCGCGATCCACGCGATGTCTTAAACCAGGCCGATCCAGTCGTCACAGCACGAACTTGCAGTAATCGCACCTCGCGCTCGAAGAGCGAAGCAGGTGGCCCCGCTGTCGCCTTTTCTTTTCCGGTGACCTTCCGCTGCCCGGGAGGTCGCGTGACGGGCAAGACGCGGCACCGCCGAAGGGCTCGTTCCAGAACATTATGGCAGGCTGATTCCGCGGGGGGGGGGTAATATGTAAGTACACGAGGAGGAGGAAGCAAGACGATCAAGGTGACGAAGACGACTACAACGGCGACGAGAGCGACCGCGGCGGCGGCAACGACTGCTCTCATGAACGGGGGGATGAGGAAGAGGAACACAGGTCGAAGGAATAGCAGGTACTAGTTACGTACTGTAATTAGTTTGACGATCGTGCCGAGGCGAGGGATGAGGACTTGGAGGCAGGGAGGATGATCGGGGCGGATGAGGAGGAGAAGAAATTATCCCGGCAAAGCAACCTAACAGCGATGTGTAGGAGCATATCTGGAAGCATTCCTTTGAATATTCAGATGCGAATCCAGTTGTAGAATTCTGCTGTTCTCGCAGTCGTAGTCGCATTCGCGATGACAGTTGCAGTGGCAACAGCAGTCGCAGTCACAGCCTCAGCCTCAGCCTGCCTCAGCCTCAGCCTCAGCCTGCCTCAGCCTCAGCCTGCCCCAGCCTCAGCCTCAGCCTGCTTCAGCCTCAGCATCAGTCTACCTTCAGCCTCGGCCTCAGCCTCAGCCTGCCTCAGCCTCACCCTGCATCAGCCTCAGCCTCAGCCTCAGCCTGCCTCGGCATCAGCCTGCCTCTGCCTCAGCCTCAGCCTGCCTCTGCCTCAGCCTCAGCCTGCTTCAGCCTCAGCCTCAGTCTGCCGTCGGCCTCGGCCTCAGCCTCAGCCTGCCTCAGCTTCAGCCTGCATCAGCCTCAGCCTCAGCCTCAGCATGCCTCAGCGTCAGCCTCAGCCTCAGCCTGAACCTCAGCCTGCGTCAGCCTCAGCCTGAGCCTGAGCCGGCCTGCAGCCTCGGCCTCAGCCTCAGCCTGCCTCAGCCTCAGCCTGCCTCAGCCTCAGCCTCAGCTTCAGCCTGCCTCAGCCTCAGCCTCAGCCTGCCTCAGCCTCGGCCTCAGCCTGCTTCAGCCTCAGCCTCAGTCTGCCTTCAGCCTCGGCCTCAGCCTCAGCCTGCCTCAGCTCCAGCCTGCATCAGCCTCAGCCTCAGCCTCAGCCTGCCTCAGCATCAGCCTGCCTCGGCCTCAGCCTGTGCCTCAGCCTCAGCCTGCTTCAGCCTCAGCCTCAGTCTGCCTTCAGCCTCGGCCTCAGCCTCCGCCTGCATGAGCCTCAGCCTGCATCAGCCTCAGCCTCAGCCTGCCTCAGCATCAGCCTCAGCCTCAGCCTCAGCCTGCCTCGGCTTGCCTCGGCCTCAGCCTCAGCCTGCCTCGCCTCAGCCTCAGCCTCAGCCTCAGCCTCAGCCTCAGCCTCAGCCTGCCTCAGCCTGCCTCAGCCTCAGCCTGCCTCAGCCTCAGCCTGCCTCAGCCTCAGGCTGCCTCAGTATCAGCTTGCCTAAGCCTCAGCCTCAGCCTGCCTC